CAAGTACCCATGGAAGATTCCCCGATAAAAAGTAGGAAATCCCGCTTGTTGGGTGTGTTGCCCTAAACTCGTAGTTTGTATTTTGTAAAAACAAATGTCTATTTAATAAAGTTTTATTCAATAAATTTGTTATTGAATCATAGCTTTGCATTATCCAAAATCCAATAAACTAAACATCCAAGGTTATTTGTGATGTAATCGAGACAGTATATATACTGGGTATATAGTTGATATACGAGGTATATCAATGGATAATGTCCCGTGAACAACCTAAAAGGTCTATAGTATATGGATAAGGCTGGGTACCTTATCCTGGCAACACTATGGATACGGCCCGCTCTGTAAAGGTTACAGACGACTAGATCCAGGTCGTTCGTGTGGAGACATGCGAGTGGGGGTATCCTATACAATGAGTTTGTATAAGACCGGACCGCGAAATAGGCAATCTTTAGATGTAACACCGTTAACTAATAGATTGTCATTTCTTAGGATGACCAGACAACTCATTCTCAATCCTGAGTGAGTTATGGACTCCTCCCCGTGAGGGCTCGTTCTTTGATCTGTATGGGTGAGAGTGGCCCGAGTCGCCGACTCAACATTCCTACCTTTTTGGGGACGAGACCGAGTGGGGAGCTGTGAACATAACTTCACAAGATGGAATTCACTCCTCCCCGACTTTAGGGGAGTAGATGAGTGTTCTCTCAAATGCTGACTCCGGGACTTGAACAAGGGGCCCACCCTCTCATTGGCCGAGAGACACTTCCGATTATTGGTTGGACCATAACCGGGTTGTTCATTAAAGGAGCAGTGGTGTTTAAGGAGTAAGATGTAACTCAGGGGTAAAACGGTAATTTGACCCAACTTGAGTTACGAACACTTGTGAAGGATTGACTCGTCATTTCTGGTCGTATATCCGTGGACACGAAAACGTTCTGCAGTGAGAAGAGTGCAACTTCGGGTCTTTAGTGGAATGACCCGTAGTTAACGAATCTTGATTAACTCGGTCAATGAGTTTGACCGATTAATCTCGCATCGTTGAAGCTTCTGATTTGTAGGTCCATTAGATCCCCTTGCTAGGTACAACGAGGATCAAGGTTTTGGAAGAATTTGAAATGTTCAAATTACTTAAGGGATTATATGTATATTGATACATTATAATATATATAGTTAATTATAAATTAAAACTATATATTATGAGAGAAATTATTTGAATGAGATTCAAATAAAATTAATATGAATAAGATTCATGTTAAAACTATAGGTTAAAAATAATGTGCATAAGATGTACATTAGAACTATAGGTTATACGAGAGAAATGTTATAGAATATAATTCTATTTTTATGATAAATAATTAAGTGTTAATTATTTATTTGATTTATATATATATATATATATTAATTATTAATTGGATTAATAATTAATAATTATTTATTAATTAATATGATTAATTAATAAATTAATTTTATATTTTAATTATTATATATATATGATATATATATTAATTATTTATATAAATATAAATATATATATATATTATTAATATTAATAATATTAAACTCCCCTGCAAAATTGTAGGGGAGTGGGAGGTTAATGTGACGTGGGGAGTCACCCCACGTCACTGTTTTTGTTCTTTTTGCAGTTCTGCAAAAATACAAAATGCAGAACAGACTCCTCCCAGTTTTCTCTCAATCTAGCTCTCTCCCTCAACTCTCCCTGATATTCCAAACAAAAGGCTCCCACAAGCACGGTTCTGGAAACCAAAAAGAGGATAGCAAGGAAGACATAGTGGTGGTGTTCGAGGGAAACTCGTTGAAGAAACGTTCTTCAAAGGTAGAATTTCCCCTGTATTTTTCTTCTGTAAAATTCGGTTTTGTATCCCGAAAATCAGCAACGAAAATCCGTTTCCGCTCCGGGATTCACATCCCTTCACCGCTGTCATAGACGTAGTGAATCGCCAGAAGGACGTGGTGATTGTTCCGATTACTCATATTCTAACTGCCCTGAGGAATTGTTAGGAATCCTTAGATACAATTACTCCATCCCAAGTGATATTGAATTGAGAATTCCTGCGGCGGGTGCAACGATTGACAAGCCTTCACTAGGGTGTGTCAGTTTTTATCCTCAAATGTATATAGGGTTAGATCACCTTTGCATCCCTTTACTCGATTCTTTCTCAATGCGGTTAACCTGGCTCCTGCTCAACTGACACCAAATGGATGGGGCACCTTATGGGTTTCTGGTACCTATGGTGGCGATTCTGTGAGGATAGAACTTGTGTTTTGTCTGTCGACCAAATACTTTCCATCCATACTATCAAGAAGTCGTCCAAAGCCCCTCACACCAGGGTACACACCAAGTTGAGCCCAGATTGAGTTGAAATAAGACTCTCGATATGCTTTCGCAGCTTTTAGAAATAGTTCCTCGAGTGCCTTCGCATCGACTTTAAATTTTGCTAACAAGTTCATCTTAATATGTTGTATACAAAAGCAATGAAATGCAGTGGGAAATACCTTGTCAATTGCCTTACAAATGGTGTGATGTCTATCGGAAACGAAAACCAAATTGTTCACTACGTCGAGCGCACCTTTTAATTGAGTCATAAACCATACCCATGATGCTACAGTCTCACCGTCCACAATAGCAAATGCAACTGGGTAAATCTGGTTATTCGCATCCGCACCAGAAGCTGTTAACAATACCCTTCTGAACTTCCCTTTTAGGTGGGTCCCGTCGACAACCAATACTGGTCGAATACAAGCCAGAAACCCTCTAATCGATTGACCCAAAGCCATAAAGACATTTGAAATATTTTCCATCTTTGAGTTCCAATTCGAAAATGGTACCTGGGTTCATGATTTTTAATGCTTCACCATAAGCTGGTAGTAGACCGTATGACGATGCTGGATCCCTTCTAATAAGTCGAAGTGCTTCTTCACTGGACCGCCAAGCTTTGTCATAACTTAAATTCACACCATACTTCATCCTCATGTCTTGTATTATGTCCTTCGGTCTATACGTGCGGGAGACGTCTGTAAACTTCGATTGGACAAGATGTCCGACCACCCAACTCTTGGCTTGCCTATGATCCTGTTTCAAAACTCCACCGTTGCATGAATGGATGCTATAGTATTTTTTTATCTTGAACAGATTGCAGTCCCTCAGCTTTGTAGTTCAAAGTCTCCAGGTGCAACTAGTATCAACGCAGCGTAGTATATATAGTTCCGGTGTCGACTTTTTTACTTTAAACTGAAAATTTAGCCGCATTGCAACTAAATGCATTCTCAAACTCAACTCCTTCTTCGTATCAAATACTTTGCCCTCCTTAACATCATTTGTTCCAGAAGACTATACTATGAGTTGCAACTTCTCATCATTAGGCTGTCCAGTGAGACCATCGCACCCCATTTGTTGGACCGCTGCTTCATCCCTACGAAATTCAGCTTGTACCTGTTCCACATCGGGCTCAGACTCTTCATCAAGTGCATCGTCATAGTCATCATTCACAAATTCTGCTTCATAGTCTCCTTCTTCTGACTCTCCCAACGGGTCATATGATTCATCACTTTCATCTTGATTATCATTCCATAATCCCGGCACATTCCAATCACATACCATGTCATCTCCTAGGTTACATGGAACAACATCTGATTCAAATGGTGTTAAACTCACTATATCATGACCTAAATGCCCGTAATAGGGGTGTGGTTGTTGGGAAGAAGAGGGGTTCGATGATGAGGAAGGAAATGAATGTATCGAGTCTGTGGGTCTCTGGAATGGGGGAATACAAGCTGTGGGCATACAACTCGAGGACACGTTTTGGCCTACATGATATGGGAAAGAAGGCATGTACGTTTCATTCTCATCTACCTGCTTTGGCATAGTAGATATGTATATAGGCAATTCAGATACATCTTCACCAGTTAAAAAAAAATTCAGGTCATCGTCATCAGTTATCTCCATTACACAAACTTTA